TGACTTCGTCAATAGCGAATTTGAAGAGGAAAGGTGACAGCGGGCATCCTTGTCTCACACCGCTGGAGATACTGAAGGGTGGCGACAGCTTGCCGTAAGCCCTCACTCTGCCCGTGCTACCCGCATATAATGCTTGGATAATATTTACATATTTCACGGACACACCTTTCCTGAGTAGACAATTCCAAAGGGCACATCAATCAACCGAATCGAAGGCACCTTTGGTGTCGAGGAACAGGACTACGGTGGGCCGCCAATATGTGTGGCGGTGCTCCAACAACTGACGCAAGGTGAAGATGTGATCGATGCAGCCACGACCTCGACGAAACCCGGCTTGCTCCTCACGAATCTGGCTTTCACGAGCGCCAGTCAGTCTGTGAAGAATTATGGAGGCGAGTAATTTGGAGACGATGGAGATCAGATTGATTCCTCTATGGTTGCCGCATTCCGAGCGCGAGCCGCCTTTGAAGATGGGAACAATAACGGAGCGGCTCCAGTCGGTTGGGACAGTCTCCTGCTCCCACAGTTTCACTAGGAATTCATGTAAAGCATCAACAAGAGCAGAGCCTCCGAATTTGAAGAGGGCTGGAGGAAGATCATCTGGTCCCGCGGCTTAGTTCAACTTCAACAGTCCGATCTCACGTTCGACTTCTGAGCAAGAGGGTGGATCTAAAGGGACAGCCCACGGAGGAGGGCGATCACTGGCCGGCGAAGAATCGAACAATTCTAGCCGATTAAATTGCTTTTCAAAATGCTCAGCCCAACGCTCCAAACGTTTTGACAAATTGTGGATAGGCTGTCCACTCTCATCACTAATTGTTTCACTAACACCAGGTCTCCTGCTGCCCGTTTCCCGTATCAGACGGAATAACTTACGATGGTTGCCAAGGGCAGCGGCCACTTCCATCTCTGACGCACGATGAGACCACCAAGATTCGCGGTCTCTCTTCACGCTAGCGCGGAGTTTTGCTTGGAGCTCTTTGCGAGTTTCATTGTGTTCGCTTCCAGCCGGGATATGCCGACGAGCGTCGATAAGTTCCAGAGACCGAGAAGAGACCCAATGTCCATGTGGACTTTTAGAGATACCACATGAGGATTTGCCCGCTGCTAGTAAGGTCTGGCGAACATGTGACCAGTGACCATCAATTGTCTCCAGTGAGCAAGTACTCAACTCGCATGTCAGCGTACTGCGATACGCATTCAGAACAGCTGGCTTTATCAGTTGGCTGGTGTCATTGCGCTCACAGCGTCGTCGTGGGCGTCCATCAAAGCGCATCCGCATGTCAGCACATACAAGTGCATGATCGGTGTCCATACATGTGCTCCAAACCGAGCGATAATTCTGGATGCAGCCTCTCCAGCGGTAACTAATAGCAATGTGATCGATCTGCGTCCAAGGCTGGTTCGAGGCTGGTGGGCGCCAAGTCACCCTCCGGCGGGTGCTGTGTTGGAAGTTAGTGCTCGCAAGACATAAGCGAGCATCTTCACACAAATGAAGTAACCGCTCACCGTTATCATTACGGGAGCCTACACCGTGCTGACCGCCCAGATGCATTTCATCAGTGGACAACTTTCCAACTTGTGCGTTCATATCCCCCGCCAGCACAACAGTGTCCGTGCTTCTTCTGTGGCGAAGGAGCTGAGTCAGTTGGCGGTAGAAGTCGTTCTTTACCGAATCATCGCTACAGTTTGTGGGCGCGTATGCAGCAATGATGGATAGACACCTAGTAGTCCTGCGCGATTTCGAAGCTTTAAACGAGCCAGCGAATTGGACCGCACACATTCGACTACTGATTGGAATCCAATCAACCAGAGCAGCTTCAGCCCGGGGACTCAGGGCAATGCCAACACCAGCTTGGCCGGTGCTCGAAGCTGCATCGTCACCGGATAGGCGCACTGAGAAAATACTGTTTGCGTCACCTGAAGGGGATCGCAGAGTGAGCACAGAGCTCGAGTCTCGCAGGCGGGTCTCTGATAAACAGCAGATGTCGATCGAGAGGGTCTCCAGTGTTCGGGCAAGTGCTGCCTGTTGACCGATCTGTAGTAGTGTGCGTACATTAAGACATGCCAATCTGAAGGAGGATCGAGGGCTCCAAATGGAAGCCGATGAACTGGAATGGGCCGCTTGGTTGGACATGGGCTTGTCGACAGGAGAGGAGTGACGCTCCGCGTCAGCATGTGAGTTGAAACTAGAAGATAAATGCCTAGCAAAGCATGTTGGTGGAGGGCCAAGAATCGGGGGGCTGAAAACTGGGGGGATATAAGTGAAGTTGGAAGGGGACGGGAAGAGTGAAAAAGCGTAAGATGGAAAATAAGAAGACGGGAAGGCTTGAGCAGTAACATCCAAACCCCTATCCACCCTGCTCGATGCAGCAGATAGGGCACCGTTGATTATCCCCTGCGGTGGCCAGATCGGACTGTTGGTTAAATAAAACCGCGAGATCAGATGATCTTCATACAGCCCTCTTCGAATTCGGAGGCTCTGCTCTTGTTGATGATGTACATGGATTACTTGTGAAACTGTGAGCATGAAAGAGTCCTAACCGACTGGAGCCGCCCCATTATTGTTCCCATCTTCAATGGAGGCTCGCGTTCGGATTGCGGCAATCATAGAGGAATCAGTATGATCTCGATCGCCTCCATAATCCTTCACAGACTGACTGGCGCTCGTAAAAGCCAGATTCGTGAGGAACAAGCCGGGTTTTGTCGGCGTCATGGCGGCATCGACCACATCCTTACCTTGCGTCAGTTGTTGGAGCACCGTCACATATATTGGCGGCCCACCGTTGTCGTGTTCCTTGAAATAGTCTACTCAGGAAAGGTGTGCCCGAGAAATATGTAAATATTATCCGAGCATTATACGCGCCTAGCACGGGCAGAGTGAAGGCTTACGACAAGCTGTCGTCACCCTTCAGTATCTCCAGCGGTGAGACAAGTATGACCGCTGTCACCTTTCCTCTTCAACTTCGCTATTGACGAAGTCATGCAGATTGCATTTACAGAACATGGCTTAGAAGGTGTGGAGCTACTCCCAGGAGAAGACTTCTTGACTTGGAGTATGCAGACGACATTGCCCTCATCTGTGACAGCTCCCAGACGTGCCAAGCAGCACTGGACAGATTAGCACTAGCTGTCCTTCACCTCGGGCTTGGCTTTGCACCATCTAAGTGCAAGACTTTCCTCCAAGATTGGCAGGGGTCGCCTCCTGCGCTGACCCTTGGTGGGGATCTGGCAGAAGTCGTTCAAAAATTCAACTATCTGGGAAATTGTGTCAGGGCCCGTGGGATTGTAGATGAGATCACGAACCGTTTATCAAAATCTCGAGGCGGTTTTGCTAAACTTCGCCACCTATGGCGGCGGCGCGACATCACTCTCACCATGAAAGGTAGAGTGTACAATGCAGCGGTACGTTCGACCTTACTGTACGGTTGCGAAACCTAGGCCCCTAAGATCGGCGGACATGAAAAGGCTAGTTACGTTCGACCCATCGGTGCTTTCGCAGTTTGGCTCACATCTGGTGGGAACACCGCGTGAGTAACGAGCGTGTTCGACGCATTGTTTACGGCACAGGAAAAGGAACTGAACCGCTCAGCACCGTCATTTCACGCACCAGGCTACGACGGCTGGGCCACATGTTGCGCATGCCAGCCCATCGACTTTTGCGCGACGTGCGTTGTTTGCTCACCGGGAGTGTGGATGAAAGAAGAGGAGGGGTGGTCAAGTGATGACTTGGTCCAGAGTAATGAAGGCCTTCACTTTGGAGCTGGCCCCAGTTGTAGCGTCACGGCTTCTTGGTTGGGGTCAAAAAGATACACTTGCTGACATGGCAAGGAGCCGACCTCAGTGGCGTTCCTGTTGTGAGTTTCTTTGTCCCTCCCAATTCCTTTTAGCCTCCCTCTCCAACCACCATCTCATTTTGTAGCGCAATAAAATTGCACATAATTTTGCTTGTCGCCTAGTAGCCGGCTGGTAGCTTACCGGTACGATGCCCATACGTTGCTGGTAGCTCAGCTGGCATGCAACTGTTGTACTTATTTTCCTTTTATATATTGCGGCACAGTAGCTGAGGTGTTTCCCACCTGTAGCTAACGTGTATAATGGTTATGATGATTATCTGAGTTCTGAAAAGTGATTATCTAACTTGTAGTGTCGAATAGTATGTTGTTATTATTAACAACCTGTTGAACAGCCGGGGAAAAAAGCTAAAGCACAGCAGCTGGAGAAAAAGCCCACGCTTTACTGTCTTTGAGCAAAAGCGGTAAGTCAGATGCATTTATTGACTTAAGACATCAGAAACAGAAATTTTTATGTACCCACCAGTTGCATTGTAATGTCACACGCCAAACGACCACAAAGGTAAACGCACGGCGGGAGTAAGCTGTGCAAACAAGTATCGGAGGATGAGTCGGCCGCTGGCCGAGTGGTCTGCGCGCCTGGTTTGCAAACATAAAGTCCATGGTTCGAATTCGCGTAAGGGCGAACGTCCTCGAGGTACACTCAGCCCACGCGCGACTGGTGGTGGTCGCGCGGAAGCGAAGTGCCGTTACGGCGTACAGTTGGCACATTACCTTTTATTCTGAGGAAAAAAGCGTCGGCAATACGCTGGTACATTGTGCCGACGCTTTGCTGCCACGCGACCGCCACCAGTTGCTTCTGGGTACTGTGAGGTCACTCGCACCTACACAGGTTCGGATTGGTGACCTTTGGATTGCAAGTTATATCATCGGCCACTAACAAATGCTACCGGGTTTAACAGGCAATGGTGAACAGCTATTGGATCCGCTACATAAGCATAGGCATACTTGGCTGGCGTTTCGAGACGTGAGTAATCATTACTCTTGTGGCGAAAAACAATATTTCTGGTAATAGTCTAGGTGACCATAGTTGTGTTGAGTTGGAGGACTACAAATCACCTTGCATATACGGCGCGAAAAAAGCAATGTATGCAAGCAATGGACAACACAAGAGCGGTGGTAATAAAAATAAGAAAACCTTGTCACCTTGACCGGATGAACACCTGCGGAACCGTACGAAGCAGTTTGTTTGCGCTTTTGTAGTAAAGATCCAGGTTCCTTGGGCGTGCTTGGTGTCTCGGTGTCCTCAGTAAATTTTTGAGAAGCCAAACTCACACCAGCGTCCTGAAATTTTGCATCATGCATAAGAATTAGTACCTGAAATGACTTTGCTTTGAGTTTATGTTTGATCTGATTAAGCGTTTTGGTCTCGATAGCTTCAGCAATCTTTTCCAGATCATGACCAAAGCGTGAGATCGCATCCTTCAACCGTTTGACCTCGTCATCAGTCCAGTTATTCGCTTGCTTTGAGTCTACTTCAGCCTTTTCCGACTGAGCCAACTTCAAGCTCAAAGTAAGTTGGGCCAAGCGTCCAAAGGCCACCGAAGCTTGCTGAAATATTTCCGCTACTCTGGAGGCGTTGGCCATCAACGATAAATGGGTGCCACGATCAGGCACAACTGTGAACCCAAGGGAGGAGAGCAGAAATAAAAAGAACCGGTAAGATAGTGACCATGTGACGGGAGAACAAAGAAAACAACAGAGAAAGTCAAACGGCTACAATGAGCAACCTCATCAAAGGACCGTCGAGTGCGCCACTGGCGGGAATTTAAGCATGGGCCGTTGTTTGTCTGCACAGCTGACTTCTGTGTTCGCTAAATATGTGCTTATTTATACTATGTTGAATGCTGAAATGTTAATACTGTTCATAAAGTAACAGAAACAGAAGAATGCAGTGTTCAAGTACAAGTTCAGTTGGGACGGAAACGATAAGATAATCCCGTGTATGTCCCTTTTTTGCGTATCGTTGGATCGGGAATTGATAGGTCTGCTTGAGATGTTGGAAAGCCTAAGACAGCATCAAGCCCTATTCCACCAATTACTGCCCACATTTTCCTGCCCAGCAGTCCTGACAGGCCGATTTATGTGAAGTAATAGACTGAAGGGTAAGCTAAGAAAACAAATGGAATGTCAGCTAAATAATGATAATGAGAAGAAAATAAAAAGGCGCAGAAAGTTGAAGATACAAGTCGGTTAGGAGAAGGGAAAGGTTTGTTACTGCCACCCTAGAGCACCAAACTGACGCTCGAAACAGTCTATCGTAGACTCCCTTAAGACGTGCTCCGGAAGTGAGTTCCAACGTTCAGTAACCCGGCGCGATAAGCGAGTTTCCGCCCTTACCCGGTCAAAGCGCACTTTGTGCAGCTTCAACGGGGTACTTTGGAGACTAGGCAAAATGGCGGGACTAAATAGCCAGAACAAATCTGGACCGATCTTACACGTTAGGATACGGTAAGTGAGGAGCAAGTCTCCTTCAATTCTGCGGTAATGCATTGAGTACATACCCAAGCTAAGCAAACGTTCGGGATACATTTGCCTCCGTAATCCTTGCACTAACCTTCTACCCACTGGCAAAACCCTCTCCAATCCCATATTATCCCTTAAAAAACAAGATGGACAAGCCTGCATATAGTATTCTAAATGGGTTCGCACAAAAGCTGAGAACAGCTTCACAAAGATATTGGCCATTAGGACACCGAAAAAGCGGCGAATAAACCACATCATACGGAACCCTCCACAAGCAGCCTTTCTCCAATTGTCCCCAGAGTGAAACAAAGTGTGGATGATACCTAGAGCAACCTGCTGTGTGACAACAGGGAGTTCACTTCCACCAACCACATAACGCGTAGGAGGACAGATCATTTCGCCTCAGTTATAGGCATGAATCATAAGCTAGACCAATTCCAGAGCCTATCCCAGGCTCTGAATTACCACAGATCCCCAGGGATATCCACAATATTCCAGAGCTTGAGGTCATCAGTAAACGATAGCGACGGTAATTCAAGCTCTTGGGGAAGGTAAATGGCATAAACTGCGAAAAGCAACGGCCCTAAAACCGTGCGCTGCGGAACGCCATTAAGAACAGCTTGTCTAAGCGAAAGGCTACGTCCAACGCGTACACACTGTCCTTTTCCCTCTGGGTAAGCAGACACCCATTTAAAGGCGCCTCCAGATATCCCATACGATCTTAACTTTAGTGAGTCGTTGATGTGGAACAG